TTATTCAAAAACTAAAAAACCAAAGAAGGAAAACATTTACGGAAGTTGTAGAGGAAGCTTTTGCAAACATTTTAAGCTATTGACCGTCTGAAAATATTGAAAACTAACTGAGTTGATAGACTTTTTCGGTCGTGAAAAACAAAAATGCTATTTTACGGCAAGAAAAAAAATTTTTCACTTCAAAAAAACATATATTATGGTTTTTCTTTTTTTTTTCAGATTAGTTTTATACAAATATCGATTATTTCAACAATTAAATTGCTGAAATTGAGTGCTGAAAAAAAAAATCGTAGGCGTACTTTTTAAAAGTTTTTTGTTTACGCGCATTGTCTTACTGTAGAAAATTTGCAGTTCGTTTTCGGCGTTGGGGAGAGCGTGTAGGGACAAAAAAAAATTATTTTGAAAAAAAAGGTGTATTGCACTATTCTGTCGTGTTATGGGTGTTCCGTTCAACGGTTTCTGCAAAATTATCTTTATTTTTTTGGCTGAGAATACCGAATCAGGCTTGCCACGGGCTCGCGAAGTGTCCCCTTCGGAAAAAAACTTGATTGAAATTTCAGAAAGTGCGCTCCGCCGTACATTTTTCCAAAATCGTTCGAAAATTCATTTTTTTTTTAGTGTTTTTCAAGTCGATTGTAGTGTAGAAGTGCGAAAAGTGAAACAAAAAACCAAAATCGACTTTAAAGTTGGCAGGAAACCAAGCAAAACTCCCTCAAAAACAAGTGAGAAAGCCTCCGTAAAATCGACAAGCCACGCCCCATGGGCGGAGCTTAACGTTTGCCGGGGCGTTTGAAAAAATTCCTATCGGTAGGGGGACACTTTTCTGAACACGTTGGAATCTAGTGTAAAAGACAGGGCTGGGCCGAAGATTCCGACAACTTGACGGCGCCGGTAATCCTCATCACGAAAAACTTATCCGTTATAAATTTAATTGCTACCCGTAAAGATTTTATTCGAAATTTTCATCCAATTTTCCATCGATTTTTCATTCGAATTTTTTCCCAGCCTCTTCCCTCCTAAAAAAAACCGAATAATTTTGTTTGAAAATCCGAATTAAGAATGAATGAAAACTTCGGAAAATATAGAAAACCATTTTCCGCCAATTTTTCTCTATACGGGACAAGCTTTT